CAGATGCTGGAATGTCTTATATCCACTTGTAATACCTAAGGGTCGGAAGAGCTGAAATGAAGAATGATGGAGCCTATGTGAGCCACTTGTCTGAGGACAGAAATCTCTGTTCAACTAAACAGCATCATACTTTGGGAATTGGGGAAAGAGGTTCAGAGCAGGCCCAGATCACACTGAGCACTTGAATCCCAAGGTCCCAACTCCCGCTACAAACATGATTCATCCTCACTTGAAGTCCAGCTGCTCTGATGCGGCGATAAAATTCATCATCTTCCCGGCCCCAACCCCAGAAACGGTTGGACATTCCATTACACTGAAACAATAATAAGGCAGTTAATCCCAAAATTATTTTCCTTTTAATAATATTTGGGACTTGAAAGATTAGAAAATGTGTGGTTCTGAGGCATAAACAGCGCTATTCTCTCAACACTTCATTTCCAGGATTATGGGCCTTTTATCTACAAAAATTTTTTTTGTCTAGCAAGTAGACAAAATATGATGCCAGTGTTCCTTTAGATGGAGCATAATTAGCAAGGTCTTCTCTTTTGCAAAAAGTCCAGGAATCTCTTCTGTAAGAAAGAAGTGGTAACTTACCATTCGATAGTGTTGCTTGGTGAGCAGCAAGATGCCCCCAACATAGGTGCTATAATGATAGAGAGGGTGCAGCTCAGGTGATGCCACGTGAAAAGGACCAGCAGCTGGGAAGCTATAGTCCAATTCCTCATTGAGAGGTAACAAATCCACATCATGCATGGCAATGTAGTCTGTGTCATTGCCACTTTCCAGAAAACCCACGTTGATCAGAGATGCTCGGTTAAATCTGCCCAAGAGATCAATGTGAGAAGAGTGGACCTAAGTCACAAAATTCTACCCAGGCAGGCTGAATTACCTCCCTGCCAGAATTGCTCAATATAGGTAGCATCTGGCCATTACTATGCTTTATTTATTATCATTGGCAAATCTTTAATCTACAATATACCTAACAGGCATACAGAATATTTAACATAGGAGAAAATCAACTGAAACTAAAAAGACAATTATTGCTGGAGATGTGGTACTCAAACTGCAATTGTCTGCTATACAGTAATGGCTCCCTTTTGGACAGAAGTTATTTACATATTAATTTTGATCCTGAAGACTCACTGGCTTTTGGAAATGCTTATTCTGAATTATATATGTGCAATTTGGAGACGTAATGGAAGACAAGAAAAATAGATATTGCATGACATTATGGTCACAAAAAAGTAATAGTACAAGACTGAAAGGACATCCATTGTCCATCAGTGAAACAATGGTCTGAAGAACTCAATTCTTTCTATGTATCTGAATGGGAACATTATTGCCAGAATTCTGTTTGGAGACTAGAAATTTGAACTGCAAACACTACTTAATATGCTTACATTCTAATTTTTCCTACTGTTGATTTAAATATTGATAACTGTGCAACACAACAGGACTATGTACGTACGAGATGTATGCTTTTGTGCTTTTTCTTCTTTTTTGCCTATAATAAATACTTTTAAAAGTATGTAATTTTTTTGTATGTTCGGGCATCTATTGTTTTGAAATCAGTTTATCATATTATTGTTTATATTTTCTTGTGATTAGTTCTGATCATTCACTTAAATGTAACCAGTAAAAATGGTTTAAAAATACTTTAAATAAATTATTTGTAGGAAAGAAAAAAAAAGGAAATTAAATATTAAATTGGAAAAGTGATATGCATATCTTCCTGATATGTACCTAAACATATCAATCTGTAGCTAATTCCTTACATTGTTATAGTTTCAGAAAAACAAAGGGAAGACTTTTAACATGAGTACCAGAACCAGTTTCAGACATAAACCAAACCCTGGTCTGAAAGCCTCTACTGGAGTAATAAACAACATGACTGAAAAAAAAAAACCACTGTGGCATTCTTAACAGCATATAGCTGAAGAAATACTAGTTTAAAATAAAAGGCCAGCTGCTATTTTCACTTTTTGGTGTAAAAATAATGCTCATCTTCTAAAAAATTAAAATTGTACAGTGTCATACACAGAGAATGGGTATTCTGTTGTAATTAGAATATCAGAAAAAAATACTGAATGCTATTTTGGGATTGGGGATATTTGATAACATCCAGTAATTACTGGGAGACAGAAAGAGAGATAATGATTTCAAGCTTGATCCCCAACTTACACAGCTCCCTTGTGTTAAGAAGTACAAATGTTTTCTTTCCAGTAAAACAGATGACCAGTTTCTGGCTCTTTCATTTCAATGTCAGACCCAAACCATTTTGAAAAGGGAATGTATGAAATCCAGAGTACAGAATAAGTTGCAGAGACAGATTCTTTCTGGATGTGTTTGGCAATAACTCCTGTAATTCCCAATAAGCATGAACTGGCCTGTGGATTATGGGAGTTGTTCAACACATCCAGAAGGCATCACTTTGGAAGGCTGGCAAAGAGAAAAAAGCATGAGGATAGGATTCTAAATCACCCATATCTTAAAGTACCTGTAATGATCCACCTGGTTGAGTATGAAGATATGATGACGAATTTTCTTCCTGCTGAGGAAGCGATGCATATGAGGTACAAAGGTCAGCAGCTCCTCAAAACGCTCTCGGAAGGGAACTAACACCGCCAAGTGATGTAGTCCCCATGATGGATCATCAGGTGTCTGAGGTAGAGGCTCAAATACACAGGGTTTCTGAGGCACCGTTACCTCAGCTGTTTGACTTCTAGACTCATCCCCTGAGCAACTGAATTGCAGCCACAACAGGGAGAGAAAACCCAGCAATAGCACAATAAAGAAGAGCTGAAAGAGAGAGCATTTCCAGGGTAGAATGCCCAGCAGCCGGCAAAACCTGAAGCAAAATCAAAAAAAGCAATACAACACTGTGAAAGAAGATGGGCTATTCCAAGTAAAAAAAGAAGGGAAGATAAAACAAGCTTCCACAGGCTTTTCCAGAGTAAGTATGGCCTGTAAAAGTTGTGAATGGAATTCAAGTCCAAAATAGAGAAAGATTTGGGAAAGCTATGGGGAGATAAGCATTTACAGATCCATGTTTTGCTTTAATCATGGTTTAGTCACTGCAGGGTCAGCAATGACTGAGCGCAGACAAATATATATATTCATTATATATGCATTAAGCCAAAACCAAATAATGGCTAAGTTCACACAATATGGTAATTTATTTATTTGTCAAATTTATATGGCTGCCCATCTCATGTGAAGTGACTCTGGGCAGCATACAATAAAACCTACTATTAAAACATACTACAAAACCAATTAAAAAGAATTAAAACAGTAAACATAGATAAAAACAAAACCACAAGCGGGAGAATATCACACATAATACAGCCAACAGGTGGGTTTCCTACCACCAGGGGATCCCCAGGCCTGTTGAAAAAAACATGTTTCAAGGGCTTTAAGAAAGCAATAAGGGCTGGGGCTAACCTCACGTTGGGAGGATGTTCCAGAGGGTGGGTGCCATGGCAGATCAAATCAAATCAAGAAGGACCTCCAAATTGCAATCCGGGTCTGTCTGGGGTAGTGCCACCCCATCCAGTACCAAAGATAGTAAAGTCCCAGATTCAGAAGGCCCTAAAACCCAAAGCCACACAGTCTTGCCAGGATGTTGGTTTAGGTGTTGTATGAATCTAGCCACTATGATTTATTCAATACAGTACATCAGTTTCATGTATGTCATAACACTATCTGTGAACGCCATCGGTAGCTTGCCTAAATTACCTGCTTTTGAATCACAGATTGTTCAGGTCAGATCGCATTCATGAGTTGTAACTGTACATGCTATCTATATGGGAGTAAGACCAAATGCATGCTTTCTCAAGCTATAAGACTTACTGTACTCCACCTACAGCTAGATAAATATGCATACTGCAAAACCAATCATCATGGTCCAACCTATTCCTTCATAATCATCTGAAATTAGCTCTTTTCACAGGGACATGCATGAGGTCCAGGATTCTAGGCCTCAAGCCTGCCAGTGTTTCAACCCTACAATCTGCAAACTCTTCCTCTTGTAACTTCACATTTGCAGCAGAGCTTAGGTTAATTTGGGAAACAAACTTTGCACAACCGGCAGTTTTTTTAGTTCTTGTTTAGTAATATGCTTACAAAGTTTTGAAACGGGGGCCGGGGAGTAGGGGACACTCTAGTCCTCCTCTCTCAATCCTCCCCTTATGAAATGCCTCTGGCACTAGCTCTCATAGTCCCCGTTGCAGCTTTTTCATTCATTCCTTCACTAGAATAAGCTATTATGTAGGCAAAAAAAAATTCATCCATTCGGCATACCATTGGTTCCCGAACCATTAAGCGCTTTTATGATTTAAATATCTAACAGCGTGCAAGCCGTGTCATAGTCTGGTTCATGGTCATTTTAAAAATCTGGGAGGATGGATAGGATACTTCATAAATTAAAACGAACCGCCAGAGCCCCGAGAGAAGCGGAACCATTGAGGCTTGCTTCTACAACAGCATCTCCCAAATATCTTCTCGTCCGATCTCTGTATGATTCCTCTCGCTCATATTTCATGACACTTACCCGCCGCCGCCGCCCGCCCGGCGATACATAGTCGGCTTGCGTCGAGAAAGGAACATCCTACCGACTTGCCGGTCAACACCCCACTCGGGACACGTTGGCTAGGACACCAGGTCCAACAATTATAGCACCCCTCCAGAAACGCGCTCCTTACCAGCTGTTCCGTCTAACTTTTGTTCCTAGTCGAAAATAAGCTCGTTGCTTAAGGACAAGCAACGTGAATCGCTTCAGAATGCTAGAAAGCAGAAATCAAAAGGCATGGCGAACTTTTAAGCAGCGCCGGGAGAAGGGCTCATTGATTTACGTTCATTTATTAACATTTCAGCTTTTGTTGGATGGAATTTTTAAATGTATTGAATTAAAGTCTTTAACCACGTATTAAGCATATAGTGCTAAAACGCCTATCTAGTTGCCCTCTGGCACAGAATGTAGAATGTAATAAAGATAGTACACATTTTAGAAGGAAAGAACCATTTTTAATTTCTCTCATTACAATAGCAACCAGAGTTAAGTAGCCTCAAAAAACAAAATCAAGGACAGATCATTTATTAAAATTACCCTCTCTCCCCTAAAAGCTTTAGCTATTTCTTCTCCCACTTAAATGATAACTTGTTTCAAGTATAGCAGTAAAAGTAAGGTGGCTAGAATCTTAAACTTTTCAACTGGATTGTATAGACATACTAATTTAGTGCCTTTTTGATATCTTGGATATGCCCATGAATGGCTATGCTGACTCATAATTTGGATTATAGTCCATCATACCTTGAGTGTACCAGTGTGCGAAAGTTTGGTGGTGTCATTCTAAAATGTTTAGGTTATTACAAAACTGAAAACAATTCCAAAGGCCTCCTTTTCAACACACCACATTCTAAGAACAGGGTAACAATACAAGAATCCTTCTAAAAAGCTCCCATTTTCCCAATACATCAAGGTTTCTTTCGGAATCAATCTTGGCATGTCATATAGTCCACTCAAGATTCAGATACAACTGAATGCCCACAAACAATTATTTTGAGTGGACTTCTATTCCTCAACATTGTTTGTGACTTCTAGTATATTGGATAATTGGAAACAAGTTGGAGTGAATTTGTCTGACTCAAGTTTCTTAACACTTTAAGTTCATCCTCAGGTATTTCAGCAATAAAATCACTATCCCACCTGTTTTATTAAACCAGGTACACAACACATTCATGCCATGTACAAACAAGGTTTATTAGACTCATTTAGTATCATCTGAATCACAGAACTCACTGCAGTTACTTCTAGTTCCCTGTCTTACAGAGAGTTCTGCAGTCTGCTCAGGTAATAAACTTTATCGTTAGCATTTAGGAAAGCAAATCTTATGCATACCCATGTAGAAAAAATTTATATATTAACTGTCAAACATATGCTGGCCAAATAACACACCATCCACATAGGTTTTATGCTCACTCTTCACAAAAACTAAAAATAACACTTTCAGATTTTTATAGTGAAAAGGAGGTGTGGATAGGCAATGGGATGAACAGAGCACAATAACAGCACTTGCATTCATTCTACCAATCCTGCCATACTCTCCATTAAAAGAAAAAAAGCAAATCAGATGGTCAACATAAGCCAACAGACAATGCTTCAAGCTTATTCAGAACTAGTATTTACAAACATAAAGCAGTAACAGAACCTTCACTCTAGTTCTCCATAAATAATGGCCAGGTTCAGACAAAACAATCTGAGTGCAAAATGAATATTCTGACAACACAAAACATTCCCATCATTTTGCCACTCTCTTTTGTATACCCATATTTGAGGCCTTGACCTTGTTCAGTTTCCCTTGAGTTCCAAACTAAGAAACTGTGGCTTAAACTTTGCAGCTTAGAAGCACTGCCTGTTAGAATATGACATGTAACTATCTAGAATATAAAGAATTATAACCAGATGCACAAGGGGAGAAGCAAAATTTAGGCAGTTAATTCTTTCACTAATATAATAGAATATGGTTTACTGGCCACAAATTTTAATGTCTGATCAAAGCCATTTTTTCTCTTTCCTCCTCCCAAAATTGCATCCCCATATTTAGATGCTGAAGAGATAACAAGGGAGTGCTTCCCTAATTTTGAAAGAATAACTATGTAGAATTTGCTAGATACCCAGGAATTTGGCAAAAGAAACCCAAAGGAGACTTAAGCTACAAATATTAGCAACTTTATTTGGAAGTTCCAATGAAATCAGTAGAATTTTCTTCCAAGTAAATGTAATTAGGATTTTGTTGGCAGAGCAGCAGACACATGGATACCTGGGCATCTACAAGGACAGGGGAGATAACAAAATGTGTGTGATACTGCCATGCAAATGCCTTGACTATATACAAATATCACACACTGGGATGCAAGTAGGTGACATATGCCATAATTTTGGATTCACTGTGGTTTGCTGCAGATACCGTTGCAAATATGCCATTGAATGCTGCTACTTTAAGAGTTGCATTGCTGTAAAAGCAACTTTGCAACTGCTTATACATTCACAGTAATGAGAAAATGAAGTATCCTATCTGCCAGAAAATGGTGATTAGATGTATACAGGAAAAATTAATTTAATTCTAACAAACTATAGGAGGAGAGCATAAGTAAATTTCAATACTTATTTATCCCTTATTAGTAGCCCAGTGATCAGCATATTAACCCTGCAACACAGATTTATTTCAGAAAGAATCCTAATATGGTCCATCTATTAATTCCACAGAAGCTAATCCCCAAATCAAACTGAATCTCATCTATGACAAATATATAGAACAGGAGAAATGCAAGGACAGCCTTCAGATCTTCTCATTCAAAACATTCTCCTGAGCAATGCACTGGTGGTATTTAGAAATCAGTGCTAGTACATATATAACACAGCTAAAAACAGCAACAGTTTTCTTGGCTTTGATATATTGTGATGCTGGCTATACAAAGTTCCAATCACGTTTCAGAAGACAGTCTAATTTTGAAGAACATATTTAGCCAGAAAAAAAATTGAAGACACAATGCCTTTCTCCTCTCTCTGCAAAGACAAAACAAAACAACTCTTCATACAGAGCTAAAGAGTAGGAAGAGAAGGAGGGGTGGGCTGGTCTTGACTATCTGGAAAGAAGGCAGCAACTTCCTGGGGCCAAAACACTGCACTAAAATCACCACAGGCTGAGATGTTGAAGGGGGAAGAAGAGCTGAGGCAGTGGGAGGTAGATGGCACAAATCCTGGCAAGTAACCAGTCTGGTGGAAAGAGCCAATGAGAGAAGAGAGGATCAACGCAGACACCTGAAGTGCCAGGAACTGCTCATGGGAGAAATGCAGGCTTTGGGCTGATATTACTTCCTTTTTATACCAGCTTCTTGGCTTCAAAGAAACTCTTGAGGTGCCTCATTTGCCAAACTCCAATGACTACAAGAATGAGAGTCTGGACTATGGACCACCAGAGAACCCGCTGGTTTGTGCTTTCACTGGTTTGCCGGAAGCGCTCCTCTCGCCACTGAGAAAAGAAAGGGAAAAATACATTAACAAAACAACATTAAAATCCAATGGGATACATTTTATGGACAGATTTTGGTAAACAGCAAAATATAGAAAGCTGTGTATACCTTCAGCAATACCCTAATAACAGTAAGGCATGTGGGCTGACCTGTTCCCTTTTATGGCCTTTCCCCCACATCAGCACTTTATGGTCTGTGGTGCATGTGCACAATGGCAACTTCCCACCCCAGCTGTACATTCCAGAGAAGCTACTGAAGATTTCCACAGGGCTTCTGAGGAACTAGGAAGCTCCTTTATGCCAAGTCAGACTATTTATCCATCTAGCCCAGTACTATCTCTTGACTGGAAGAGTTCTCTAGTTAAAACTTTAACTTTCAAGAAGCCTTGTCAAAAGCTCCTCTTCAAAGATTCCTGAGTAAACTTAATGGTCATGAAATGAGGGAACACGTCCTTTTGAGAATTAGCAAAACCAAACAGTCAGAATAAGTGTAAGAGTCGCAAGACACACAAAGATCTATGTTGGGACTGATGCCTTTTAATTTGTTCATGACAACCGTGACTTAGGGTAAGCAGAGAATTGGCCAGGTTTGCAGATGATATCAAATTAGTAAGGGTAGTGGTGAAATCCAAACATGATTTATGAAGAGCTCAGACCGATCTTTTTAACTGGATGATTGGTCAACCCAATAGAAATATGGTTCAATTTAAATAAGTGTAAAACAATATACATCTGGACAAAGCACCCTAATTTCACATTTAGAGTGGTGCTTTAAAGTTTATGAACCCTTTTCAATTTTCAATATTTCTGCATGAATATGACCTAAAATGTGATCTGTTCTCCACTCAAGTCCTAAAACTTGGTAAAGAGAACCCAATTAAATAAATGAATCAAAAATTCATTCTAAGGAACTAAAGGCCTCTCTTGCATTGGCGAATGTCAGTGTTCATGAGACCGCCATTAGAACACTGAACAACAATGGTGTGCATGGCAGGGTTGCAAGAAGCCACTACTCTCCAAAAAGAACACTGCTGCCCATCTGCAGTTTGCAAAAGACCATGTGGATAAGTCAGAAGGCTATTGGAAGAATGTTTTGTGGACAGATGAGACCAAAATAGAACTTGTTGGCTTGAATGAAAAGCATTATGTTTGGTGAAAGGCAAAAATTGCATTCCAGCATAAGAACCTTATCCTATCTGGGAAACATGATGGTGTCAATATCATAGTTTGGGCCTGCTTTGCTCCCTCTGGGCCAGGACAGCTTCCCACCATTGAGGGAACTATGAATTCTGAATTGTACCAGCAAATTCTACAAGAAAATATCAGGGTATCTGTACATGAACTGAAGTTCAAGAGAAAGTGGGTCATGCAGCAAGACAATACCCAAAACATGCAAGTTGTATGACCAAAGAATGGTTAAAGCAGAAGAAAGGTAAGGTTTTGGAATGGCCAAGTCAAAGTCCTGACCTTAATCCTATAGAAATGTTGTGAAGAATCTGAAGCAGGTAGTTCATCTGAGGAAGCTCACCAACATCCCTGAACTGAAGCTGTTCTGTAAGGAAGAATGGACTAAAATTCCTCCAAGCCAATGTGCAGGACTGATCAATGGTTATTGTAAACATTTAGTGGCAGTTATTGCTGCCTAAGGGGGGGTACGGCAGTTACTGAAGGCAAAAGTTCACATACTTTTGCCACACACAAATACGTAGCTTTGGATATTTTTCCTCAATCAATGAACAAATATGTTTTTGACTCATTTGTTTAATTGGGTTCTCTTTATTTAGTTTTAGGACTTGTGTGGAGAACAGATCACATTTTAGGTCACACTTATGCAGAAATATTGAAAATTCAAGAGGGTTCACAAACTTTTATGTACCACTGTACATAGATGTGATCTGAGCTATCTGTAACTAACCTGAAAAAAAATCTCAGGGTCATAGTGGATAGTTCTCTTCAGACTTTGAGTCCGAAGAGTATGCAGTAACTGTGGAAAAGACAAATTACAGACATACTATTTTATGTCGGCATCCTGAATACTGTAGAAAGTTCTGGCTGCCATATTTGAAAAAGGATGTTGTTGAAAAAAAAGTGCATAAGACGGCAACCAAGATCAGGAGCTCAAACACTTTTCTTACCAAAAAAGCTAAAACATTTGGGACACTTCAGTGTAGAAAAATGGCAGCTGATAGGGAATATGATCAAAATATATAAAATCATGCATAGTCTAGGGAAACATTAGGATCAGAGTTGTCCAATCAAGCTGATTTAAAACAGGTGAAAAAAAGTCTTTTTTTTTCATATAGTGTATAATAAACTTATGCAATTAATTACCACAAGACGATGGCCCTAACTTGGATTGCTTTAAAAGGAAACTGGAAAATTCATAGAAACAGGTATATCAAGGGCCATCAGTTTTGAAAACTCAGTGTTAAAATATAAATTGCGGGAACAGTATGCCTTTAAACGTCACTTGTAGAGGAACAAGGACAGTACAGAGATCCACACCTCCTGCTTGACGTCTGCTGGCTTGTGTGACAATCCAAATGCTAGACTAAGATGGGCCTTGGCCTGATTCAGCAGGGCTAGTTCTATATTTTTATATCCTATATTTCAGGAAAAGAAGATTTCCTTGTTGTCTGTTGCCTAGTCCTTTAAATGGTTAAAAGTCCACATGCAGTCTGCACATGTGGCAGGTCGCACTACCACAGAGCCATAGTCCTGCCTGTCTTACCCTTTGGTAGTTTTGTTCTTTCTGGATCTGTTCTATCTGCTCCAGAAGCTGGCGAACACGCAACTGCAGCTCACTCAGCTTGTCCTTAGCTGCAATCTCAGCATAATCATTGGCATGTTCCCCAACTTGGATGTCAAGATGGACCCTCTGCAACAAAATTAAAATAACAGTAAAACTTCTGAGGTGCAAATATCAATCATAGCAAGATGCCTTAATAGCTGATGTGACAAGCAAGCATAAGAAAAAAAATCTTGTTAGTCTAAAAAATATTCTTACCAGCATGCCTCCTGCAAAAAGGGAAAACTTTGTGGAATTGGAGTGCAGGCAAATCTGATGCTCTCCTGGGGTGTGTGAAGTAAAAGTGAATCTGCCCTCTGAGCCATACTGCCGGGACAATACCACCTATAAATGGAACAGATGCATGACAGAGCACATAAGAAAACTCAGCAGATGAAAAAGATATGTATCTGGAGTTTCAGTCTGAATAAGACTGGACATTTTCTTGCAATCCTTCTTATCATGTAGCAGGTATTAAATGTTCTAAGCGCAGTCTATTTTTAGGGCATGGTTCAATACTCAGGATTTCATAGTATATACTTTGGCATCAAAACTGTAGTCCACTTATTAAATTATGAAACATATGATATTAAGTATGGGAATGAAATCCATTATTTGAAAAATGGTGCTTGAAACAGTCAATGTACTTATCTGGGGAGAGTAAGGGACAAACAGTATGGAATTTTTGTATAGTTCATCCTACATGCTGTACAACCCTGTTTCTTATTAGGGAAAATATGATTTGTTTTCTTTTACTTCTTCATGTATTTGCTAGGTAACTCATGTTATTTAACTTATTTGTGTTATTATGAGCCTTACATACTTGAGTAATCAAAGATAAAATAAAAGAGGGAATAAAGGACCACAAATGCCATTCTGTATTTTTTTCATTGCAGATTAATTTGTATCTATATTCCAAACAGGAAACTGCAACTGAAGTTTTTTGTTGTTTTTTTACAGCTCAAAAAGGAATGTCTCTTTTACTCACATATGATCAGAAAGGTGGCCAGATGATTTGTTTAGCTTTGCAAAGATACAGTAAATTGCCTAAGTATAGCAATGGAATAGAATAGATGTGAGAAAAGTACAGATCTGGGCATGAAGGAATTTGTTGGTTACATATGGTACTGGTCAAATTCCCAGGCTCAGCACGTGTGCCTGTTTACACTCACTCAATCCATTACTTTGCAGCACTTGGTTCTGGTTGGTGAGTTGAGTCTTTAAAAGAGCTTCTCCTGAATGGTCTACACGTGACAGGGCTCTCCGAGTGAGGAGTGTATCTGAAAACCCACAGACCATGCGCTAATGTACCTTTTCATCGGGGTCCTTCACTTCCACAAACATGCCCAGGCCGGGAGTGGCGGGAAGGTACTCCTCTCGCTGCTTATCATACAACTGCGTCCGGTAATTCCCTGTGTGGCAGAGGGGGAAGTTGGCCTTGAACAGCTCAACCGCTCATTCCCAAAGCCCACCATCACGTCCCATCCACACACGCTTCCCACAGCACCCCCACTCCCACCACAAGCCTCGGCACATGACTCCTCCTGCTCGGTCGCCCCTCGCGTCACCCCGCCAGTCAGCAGCCTTTTCAGAGCTTCCTCTCTAATAGAAGCAACTCCCCCATCTCCCCCCGCGCACCGATGACCATGGTCTCGTCCGGGATCTCCTCGATGAAGCATTTGCGTTCCGTTTCGCCCAGGTGGAAGTAGAGGCCCCACGCAGGGGGTGCGATCCCCGCCACAAGCAGCAACAAGAGCACACTAGACCAACCACCGGGAGCCGCCATGATGCCGCACTTGCGTCCTGCCTCCGCTCTCGCGCCACGTAATCGCTGTACAGCGAAGGGTAGGTCCCGCGCCGGTACAGCCCGAGAGACTACAACTCCCAGAGACAATCGGGAAGGAAGTGGGGGAAGCCTCGAGCGCGGATTGGAGAGCTTCCCCTTTCCTAGCCACTGGAAGCGCCGCTATGATTAGTGGCTGGTACGGCGTGTTGAAGGCTGGGAAATTGTGGAGCAACCCCAGACCTGCGTTCTCGGCGGGCCCGCTTCTGCCCGACCCGCAAATAACTGAGCCCGGGGTTGTCCTACCATTCCAGAATTGCATTCTACTGACTTGTACCAGCTATGAAATTCGATTTTGCATATTATGAAGATGAAAGAATTGAAAGATACGTGTACGGAGTTTCAAAATTGTTCTCACATAAAAAACCCACCTTCATACTATGTGCCTGTTTTATTTTATGTCTTTGAGTCAGTGTTGACTCCTTGTGACTGCCTGGAGTAGTCCCTGCAGTTTTCTTGGCAAGATTTTCTGACGTGGTTTGCCCTTGCCTCCTCTTTCCTAGGACCCATAGAGAGTTAGTGCCCAAGGTCACCCAGCTGGTTTCATGCTTAAGGCAGGACTAGAACTCATGGTCTCCTAATTGAACAGCCCTATTGCAAACTATAAAAATATGTCCATGTGAAAAAATGTTTTTTTAAAAAAATCTGAATTCCTCCATCATTAATCCTTTTTGATTCCTAAAATTTCCCAGCATGGAATTTGCTTCCTACCCCATTAATCCAGTAATACCAAATAGAGCCCATCCACCATTCTGTTTCACTTTTTTTTTTTTTTAATCTGCGCTCAGTCGTTACTGACTCTGCAGTGACTGCTTGGACGAGGCCTTGCAGTTTTCAAAGCAATTGTTTCGGAAGTGGTTTGCCAGAGCCTCCTTCCTAGGGCAGAGCCCAGTTGGCAAGCGCAGGAGGCAGGGTTTCCATTGCTTCGCACCCTTTTCGGGCGCGCGCGGTTTTTCGCGCTTACTAACCATCAAATTAAGACAGACCACCAGGATTAATTTTCCATTTTATTTCACATTGTCTTTCTTCAATTTACCATCTTCCAAATGCACACATAGCAATGTGGCTATGATATAGTTCAATTCTGCCATTAGAATCAACTAGTTTAGATGTTTAATGAAATGGGGCGCATACTCCATATTGTCTAGAAAAATCAAGCCCCCTCTCTCCTAAGCCAATGCATTCACAGGTATCACATTTCATGGATGCCAGTTGTTTTGGTGTAAGTTAGTTTCACTCCCAGCAAAATAGAAATAGCTGGTGTTAAAAGGAGGTTTTGGAATAAGTGAAACTATAAAATACATTCAGTTCAAAAAATAACCTTCTTGAATTAAGTTTATAGGCCACAGCAAGAAAACCACCCTCCACACAGCTGAACTATGGAAATATCCTCTTAAAAAGTAACTGGAAATACTATCTGAAGTGCAAAATATGCCCCTCAGAGAAGAAACATTTTCTAAGTTTGAACCATACTGTTATTTGCCTGTTTTCCATAAAAAAGATTTTAAAGAGGGACTGAAGGTTCTAAACAGCTTTCAGAAAGAGAAATGGCAGGCTCCCAAGTATAGTACAACCTACATTCCTGATTGTTTGACACAATTGCCTGACTATTTTTGCCAAGAAAAAAAGGGATATGAAAATATTCCATACATTTCTCTGAAAGAGCCTTTTAGAAATCAGAGTCTATACAATTCTCCCTCCCCCCTGTAAAAAATATTCCCAGCTGCCCTGAATTTGGGCCTCCTGCACCTTAGTAAAATCGTTTGTTCCGCTCCTGGCGTTTCTGGAAAACCACAGCCCCCACCACAGCACATACAATGATGCCAAGTAGAGAACATAGTAACAGTAAGAACACTTTCCAGCCTGTCAAGGGCCCACTACGGAAGTTTCCTGTTGGATCATCCACATTATCTAAAGGAGGGGAAAAAAAAAAAAGCTTAGAAACATGATTTACAGCACATATTACATCCTTTTGCTACATAAAGAACAGCTTAATATAGATTAGCATAATTCAGAATTGCACAGAATAGCTGTCCTGATTGTATCCTCCAGAGCCTGTGCAAACCCTTCCAACTTTCTTTGCAGCATAACTAATTAACAGTCATAAGCTAAGTAATGAGGAGAAATTATCTGGAAGAGAATTTTTAACCCTGCCCTCTAAGATCCTGGTCCAGCTGAGACCCCATGGTGAAGCCTTAACTTCTCCCTAGCAGTTCTAATACAGCATATGCAATTGCAGGCAAAAGTTGAGGCACGCTTGGTCAAATTGTGTATTTAAATAAATTTGTAAGTAAACAGAAGCCCACACAATGTCTACTTGGTTCAAAGTTAAACAGAACATCTTTCTGCAAATCTGAATGCATACTTACCATATATAATTAGTTGTTCACAAATTTAAAATAAGAAAGCAGTGAACATGGCAAGTGCAGAAGTTTGACAATCTTACAGGCAAACATTATTGTGTTTGGTTGCTATTTTATATATTGGATATGTTTTAATGTTATGTAGTTCTTTTGATTTTTTGTTTGTTTCTTGTGTTGTATGACACCCAGAGTCACACTGTTTAAGTTGGGTATCCCTATAAATCCAATAAATAAATAACCAGCTTATATTCGCTTTATCACCTGGTGCTAAACCAAAGAGGTTGTCGTCATTGGTCTACTGCTTCAAAAGTTAAGTACTTTTATGGAAAGTGATGCTTGCTCCTGTGGGAAACTGATCTTCCATTGGCCTCACAGAACATTCAGGGCAGAAGCATTAATAAATCACCTTTGGGTGACTTGAAAAGACTGACGCTAGGCTCAATCTTTGTCCAATCAATGTTTTCTTCCTCTGGGGGATGTTCCACCATCAGCTGAAACAGCTTCATTGAAATGATGTCATGATTATCTGGGAAAAAAAATTAAGTTATGTTCACTGTACTGTACAGCTGATTAAAATTTGATCTCCATAGTGACAGAAGACCTTACTCTAACTAAAGGTTTCTTATTTTAAAAACTTCTCCTAAGATTTCAGCAATATAGGGAACTGACAAATAGTGAATACTGATTCAGGTGATAAGTGAATATCCAGTGCACTTTACCAAACACTGTCTCTATGTGAAAGAGCACATGCAAGGAACCCAGCCACTTTTAACTCACTAGCAAGTATTTCTCACCAGATAGATCTCCTGTACCAGCAGAAGCCCCAAAGAAATAACCAGTGGGTAACCGAACTCCTGCAACATCAAAGCAGTTTTTCCATTCATTCTTATCCTCCACATCAGTCATCACCTGCAACATAAAAGTAATCTTGGACATTAAGGACAACTTAGCTTTCACACTTCTCAGACAGTTGAAAAATCCTATAGAAATATAGCAGAGCTTCAATTCTGAAATACAGAAATTGGCCAACTCAAACTTACATTGTCAGGATTTACTATATTCATTTTCACTTTTTGTATTTCACTGAGTACAGCAGTAGCAAAAATGACACAACATATTCATTCTAAGTTATTATGAAACACTCATGGGCATTTGTTTGAGTTATTTGTGTAACATGGAAGAATGTCATGTAATTCGTGCATCCTAGCACCCCACATCAGCCTTACCGTCAGACGCCCCCGAGAATATCGGACAGCCAAAAAAGTGTCATGATTCTGATTACGAATGTCAGCTGTGCAGCCTGCCAGCTCTGTCCAGCGACCATCTTTACTATGGTCATAGGTCAGGGATCCATTGTTCACCATGGCGGAAATGTAAGGAAATACACGCTGCAGAATAAAATAAATCTGAATCAAACTCTTCACCACGATGCACAAAACTCACATCCTAAATATTTTGAAATCCATCTACATACAGAATCCCTACTTATATGTGACTGTTCCTGCAGGAAAAGCAATACCCAGGTTTAGCCTTCAAATAGAAGCTATTATTACTTACCTCAGTAGTTTCCTCATTGGGATAAGTATCCAGAAAAATGGCCAATCCATGGAAATTGTCTTTACTGCCAAAGACAGGGCCTGAGGGTGATAAAACAGAGAAAGATGAACAAGGGGTCCATATGCCTTTAAACAGCTAAAATCACCCAATTATCAAGCAGAACACTGAAGGTCAATTTAAACATTTTGACATGAAGCCATCTGGCATATAAATATGTATAATGAACAAACAAATAAATACTGCTTGCTAACCAGAGCAAATGCTACCCACGTAGCAAAGCCATTCCAATGAAAGCATTTGGAGATTATCAGCCAATATTCCGCCAGTGGATAACCCACTATTTCATGGCACAGGACCAGGTTATTTGCCAGACTGCCTCTCCTTGATTGTTTCTACCTGTCCCGTTAGATCTAGCAGGAGAGGCATATTGCACATCCAGTTAATTAAAGAATGTCATCTTGAGGGACCCACAACGCAGGCCTTTTTGGTTGCTGCCCATGCCTAATGGAAAACTGTTCCCCCTGAGATTAGAGACAAACAGCCTCTCACAGGAAATAGATTCTGTTTTGGTTTTTGCAAGACATAACAAAGATAAGCAATTTCATGATTTCAAAAACTGGACACTAGAGTGAACTAAAGTTTTAACGTAGAGGAAAAATTTACAAGTCTGTAAAATGATGAAAAACAGAACAATAAAAATACTTTTGAAGGAGACTTTTGAAGAATGGAATCAGAAAATAGTAGCCACAATATCAACAATGTCAGTAATAATGTCTGCTTCTATGGATAGACTATGTCCAAAAGATGTTATTGAAGAAATGACAGATGTCAAGCAAATTTTATCTGACAAGATAGAGATGGCATCGAAAGTGGATTTACAACTGACAGGCCAAGAGAATGACTTAGAAAAGGATGTTTCGCTGGATCTACAAAAGAACATCTTCCACCTGCTATATTAGCAGAAGCACCCTCAGGTTGTACATCAGCTCTTTCTCAGAGAGCACTACTCTGCTCAGAAGTAAAGTTGGCATTGTCCCAGAATCAGTTGGTTTCTGAACCCAAAGCGGCTCCATCTTGCAGGATGTTCCCATTTTGCCCAATAAATATTGTATGTAGATTACTA